GTGGTGGGTTGGTTGGGTTGGTTGGGTTGGGTGTGGCTGGGAGTGATGGGCCTGCCTAGCAATTCCCAAACTCCAAAAGTTGCTGAACAGTTGGGGCCCCCCAAAACTGGAAACTCCAGAGGCCTCCAAGTAGTTGTGCTTTTTCTGGGGTGGTACATATAGGGAAAGTAGTATTTGACTGTTAATGGGCGGGGGAGACTCCCAAGGTATAAATCTTTCGACAGCCCGTTCCACCCGCCAGCAGACTGCGACTGGCCAAACAACGCCATGCCAGTTCTGAGTTTGTTACTGGGGCGATGGCTGTGAGATGCTGCGCCAAGCGAAGTCGGGGACACTCCTGAAAGCAAGGACCGCCTAGTGGAGAACAGCGTTCCGGGAGCTTGAGTTTTTCTGGATGCTTCCGCTGGGGCACCCTTGCCAAAGCTCGCAATCCCAGCAGGCACCGAGGAGAAGGCAGCTCCTCGCTTGCACACCACACGCTTGCAACACGAGTTCTGACAAAGGTGTAAGTTTCCGGTGTCCAGCAATGCTGCCGCGACCAGGGGCGCCCACGAGTCGTCGCCTCTCTGGCCCAGGTACCTCACGAAAGCAAAGGCTTCAGAGGCCCAACTTCGACGCGAAAAGTGGCGACTTGTAGAAGGCTGGCCCGGCATGGCCCGGCCTGTAAGCCAAACCAGCTTTCTCCGTGGTGTCCTCCAAAGCCTTGAGGGACGCCGGCTGTCTGCGTTAACATGCCTGAAGTCTGCTTGAGTCATGGCAGAGTCATGGCAGCCATGGCATCGGTCGATCAACGATTTGTCAAACTTTCGTCGTAACTCCAACCATGCGAAGGACTTGCAGGCATCCGTAAAGGGGAGACAAGTCAACAACACCGTTTCAACTCGTCAGCAACCAATCCCTTAACAACCCTCCGGAGAGACTACATTGCATCAAATTGCATCCGAGCACGTCGCTGTTGAACCACGGCCGCTTTGTGCTGTGGTCCTCTGACGTGCGGCTGGCATGCCAGGCATCACCGCAACGCCAGGTGGTCACATGCAGTCACGAATCAAGCTTCCGGGTCCAGCTCACGAACATCAAGAATGCTGGCGATGCCGCGCTGCAGCAAAAGTGAGCACAACAGCTCGGCGCTCAAATGCCCGCAGCCGCAAGTGAAGACCTTATCCACACGCAGGCAGGACCCATTGACACGGCTACAAGATGGCGATTGCATGCGTGGCGCCTGTCGAGGTCCCTCGGACGGCAACTGCGTAGTTCGCGAGGACGACGGCCGATCTCGGCCCTTCGAAGCTCTTTCCACGTAGCCTGTGCAGATTTGTCGCAGCAACTTGACATCTAACGACGGACGTATGCACGAATAAGAGTCACAAACATAATTCACGGGAATGATGCTTGCGGCCTGTGATGTTCGATCTGGCCTCGCCGGCCTGTTCGGGTACTGGGTGGCGCTTCAGCGTCAAGAACCGGGCCCTGTACTGACTCGTATGGTACATGCAGCAAATCCACCTGCGCCTTCCATCGTGTGGCTCGTGATGACGTCCTCAGTCTTCACTGCAGAACGTTGAATCGTGACCGCTCTGCGGTCACGTAAAATCTCGGGGCTTCAGCTCCAAAAAGACTGAGCCGCCTCCGAACCGCTAGATAGATGCTGTCTGAACTGCGCTCGGAGTGTCTGCTGTTGAACGTGATTGGCTTCCAGCTTCTTGAACCATGTCGGCTCCATGGCATTGCCGCACGGCAGTCATGCGTGCTTCTTTGTGGCTGCACTTGCTCTTTCGGCTCGGGCGCAGAGTTCAGGGATGCTGCAGGTGCCGGTGCAAACAACCTGTCGACTCGATGCCGCAATACAGTGACTGAAACGATGGACTCCGCTTCGGCGAGCAGGGAAGAAGTCCCGACACTTGCATTCCTCATGAAATCCTGTCTTTGAGTTGATGACAAGTACAGTACGGTAGGAAGCAGTAAGGACCGGAAGCAATTTGAATCATGCTGCTAAGGTGGCAATTGGCAGCCACATGGAGCAGAACTGAAAGATTCGGGCATGCCTTGCGCTGCGCCGCCCCTTGGCCTTGGCCTGACAGTCAGTCTCCGTTGTCATGTTTCCGCATCTAATGCGTGTCGGGCCTGCATGCAATCTCTAATCATAATCCTCGTCATACTCTGCTGGAGGAAAGAATTTTGCGATTGCAGGCTGCCTGAAACGTCTGGACCCACAAAGCCTGGAGCGCGCACGACTATCCTGCACAGCAAATGAGCTTTACCAGAAAGAGTAGTGCTGAGTAGTAAGTCTCCTAGCATGCTCCAAGTGCAAGCTGACACCGTGACGTTTCGCAGATGCATTCCCGTCATATATCCTTAGTCGTGTCAATAGCCACGGCAGTCGCGCTGGAGGACCTGTCCATTTTGGAGTCCTTGCAGGAAGAAGCTCGCTCTCGAACGCGAACACGAAAAGAAACACCCACTCACACACACAGACACACCTTGCTTTCCCAACCTAACTTCTGCAAGGTCTTGATTCACCGAGGCGAATCATGTGGTGTGGGTTTGGGAAGGTTCGAAAGCATGTCGACAAACGCAAGTCCAAAGCAGTGATCCGTGGTAGGGTGGCCTGCTGGAAGTGAAATGACATGGTTCTGCAGTACGAATGGTGGGCGTTTGAGGTCGGCAGTGCAGCTGGCAACACTGCCGACAGCTGCTCCTGTCTTGTCACACTGGCTGAAAGGCCTCTTGACAAGCCCGCAAACTGCCACCCAACTGAGTCGAGCTAGCAAGTGGTTCGCTTCAAGCAGCTTTGTTGGCTTTGCAATCGCGGTTGAGCGCCATCAGGCGCGGTTGCGTCATATCCGCCGAATGACTGTGCAGGTAGTGTTCGCAATGATTCCGACTACTTCCTTAAATTCCAACCCCCTCCTCTGCCAAATGGGAATGGTCTTGACTTCTGTAGAAAGCAAACCGAAACTCGACGAAGTGGAGCCGTGAAGCTCGAAGTCTCCCCCCATTCTATAGCACCTCGCCAGTACCTCACATCAGCCCACTTCACCTCCCAAACCCTTGCCCGTGCCTTGCCGCCCTCCGCAGTTCTACGGATCGTGCTCCTGAGAAGTACTGAAATCTCTCTCCAAAACACGTTTCAACCTGCCGCAAATCGGTCGCATGTGATTGAAGGATTCATTGGCTGGAATGTTGAGCTGCTGGCTTCAGATAGCCTGAGCAGCAAAAGGAGCGAGGACAAACTCTGCAGAAACTTGCTCATGCCCTCGCGACACAGATGCAGCGTGGTGTGCTGCTGCTCCCGCGGCAGAAGCTCCCTTTAGATCACAAGTGACTACGCTACTAGGTTCTTGTTTCCGTGCCTTGCAGCTTTGAGCCAGGCATGCAGAACCACTATGAACTATACGAACTGCAAGTATCTCCAAACCTCTTCGCAGGCAGAGACATGGCGTTCTACGCAAAATGCCACTTAGCAGCTGTAGAGACCACTGCCGAGCAATGTGACAACCTTGACAGCAGTGGCGCGGACGGGGATCACCGAAGAGAAACGATTGCAGGGTGCATGAACGTGCAGTGCGTGACATCTGTGCAGCGACTCGGAGGGTGAAGCTGGCATGTCTCAGTCGGACTGTCCGAGGCTGCGACGGTTCCGCACCTGTCACGACGGACCGTTGAATCAGAATGCTCGCTGCCACGCGATCCCGTGCCCTTTGCGAAATCCCTGCTACCATTCCGGGAGCTTTGGATCTCTCAGTATGCCAGCCGTGACTACCGGTGCGGAGAGCTTCTTCGGTGCCTTTTGGTTGCTGTTGCGGGGTGCCTGTGATGCAAATGCACGACCGCAATAAGCGGTGAAATGATCATATGACAGGTTTCCAGGATTTGCATGATTACATCCAGAAGCCGCTCCTCTTGATCATCTGCCAACCGCCAAACAAAGTGCGGCAAGCAGAGAAGGGGGTTGGCAAGGCACCCCTTTCCAACACACAGACTTTCAAGCATGTGGATTCAGGTCAAGGCATGGCACTCTTTCAAGCATTTGGGAGGGGGGGGGGGCTAGATCAGTGCTAGCTAGCATGACGGGTTCGGGGGAATATTTCACATCTTGCTGAAGGCTAAAGGTTGGGCCCTGCTTCGTCCCTGTAGCAGGCACCACAAGCCAAGAACAAAAACGCTCAACTGTTGAGTGAAGCAGCCAAAAAACAAGAATCAGGAGCTACCTGCGGCCTCATGAGAGGCAATGGGGAAGGTTGAAAGGTTAGGTTAGGGGGAGAGCGGGAAGGACGAAGAGGAAAGGAGATGGGCAGAAGGTAAGGTTGGGTCATTGGGAGGTTGGCCCGTGGGCTGGTAAAGGACTCGATCGACGCAGAAAGTACTGGAGGAGTGTTGAGGGCCTGGCACGAGGTGGAACCAATCAACGGAGACAGGCGGCAAAAGGCCGGTATTTGTTTGTTCGCTTAGCTACCACAATCGGTGGTCTTGAGACAGGAGCCGACAGGAGCCATCATTATCCGACTGTGTAAAGCAACAAGGCAGGGACGCTTAAGGCTTCGCTCCCACATCGGCTGACCCATCCTGGGTGTCCCGCAGTGCTGTGTTTGTTATGACGTTGCCGAAGTAATGTGCTGAGAAACCTTGGTGGCGGGACCGAATTTCTGACATTACCACACTGCCTGTTGAAGCCCAAGCAGATGCTAAGCAACATGCTGCACAACAAACAACAGAGTCGTCTGTACTGCACCCATCTCCGCCTGCGTTTTCCTTAAGGGTCCGGCAAATGATCAATGCCCTCTTCGCGGTGTTCATCACAGAAAGCGTGACCGGAGAGTAGCAGGACCTCATACGCTTCAGCAGTTTTGCCGCAGTACTCAGTACTTATATTGACTCAAGCCGTCAACGTCTGCGGCCGGCGTGTTTTTTTTGCAGCTTCTGATCGGATTCGTGGAAGTGAATCTGCGCGTATCTGTGCGTGTGTGCAGGTGTTGGCAGACAGCCCTCGCAGTCGTCATGCGAGAGATGTGGTTCTGAAAACCGATAGTCACCGCAAGCAGCTAGTGAAGTGAAGGACTAGTTCAACCCGTATCCAAGCCCCCGGAAGGAGTGTGACTGCCGTGCTTGCGCAGCGGAAGGGAAGAGGGAACTGCAGGAATCCCGGTAGCATACGCACAGATGCAAGAAATTAAGTACATGGGTGAGTTTAGGCCATCTATGCTTCATGTCACCAAATCGAACATGTCGGATACAGGCTACGTCTAAGGGACAAGGGTGCTACATGAGAGTTTGTACTACTCTTGACTTGCCTGCCTTCCCCATGCTGTGTGGAGTTACGGAGGGGTTATTTTTTCGGCTGCCTGTTTTGCATCTTTTGGGGCGGGGCAGGGGGGTGGGGTGGGCCAAGTGTTTAAAGTCTTTACATACAATTGGGCTTCGAAGCATTATACTGGTGGAAGCAACATACCGTATTGAAATGACTTAGTCTAGGTTTGATGAGACCTATCATACAGAAACTACATTATTCTATCCTATATTGATATTCAACCAATATGATAAACGTTTACATCAATAGTAATTTCCAGTTTTGTTACTACTGCAAAATATGTTACCATTCAATTCAATTCAATCTAATGTTATGTAATCAAAAGACTAGTATTTCTCTGTATGCTCAGATGAACTCTATATCGATATTATGCAAAACTTATATGGAACAATATGGATAGACAACTAGCACTACTTGCCAATATTATCTTACATTCGTAATTGTAACATTCGTCTCTATTCTGTTATAGTACAGAATAGTATATTAGGCCATAAAGCCTTGTACCATATTTTATGCAGCATATGATGTATTATTCTGTTCTGCTTGATAAAACTATGTTGTATGACATGGCTAGATCATAACATATACTGTATGTATTTTTTGGCTCCCACTTGGCACCGTCAGCGCACTGACAGCATGGCAGGTATACTGTATATATACATATATACATATTGTATATATATTTATATATCCATACACACACATATACATATATATATATATGCGACAGGATAACCTGTATTATGTTGTATTATGTTACATTAATATCTCTCTATTAGAGTAGTTATGTAAGATATCATCCTGTACTATATGGTGATATCTAATTTCATATCATAACGGTGAACCATATAACATTATAGTGCATGTCATTTTACCATCCTTTTTCAGATTGCCTTTAAAGTTTTTGGTACTTTTGAAACAATTACACATCATATTACAATACCATACAATACTGAATAAACGCATGAAGTGCATAATATACGTGTGCAAACCATACAGTATCAAATAAACTTCGTAACATAATAGAACATAACCCAATGAGCGTAGTGCTAGTTAATGTAACAAACTGTAACCTGCCAAGGCATGTCATACTAAATTGTCGCTAAAATGTAACATACTTCGCAGTGTTACCAAAACTGGAATTTACCACTGATGCAAAAGTTTATCATATTGAGTTCATATCACAACAAGGTTTTTATTACAGTTTCTATAGGATAGATCTCATCAAATCTAATCTAAGCCATGTCAATACGGTATGTTGCTTCCACCTGATATTACTTCGAAGCCGATGTGTACGTAAACCTCCAGCCACACCCCCCGCAGCCGCCCCCATACCCCCCCAGCTTCCCAACAGCTTCCTGCACCGGCACCCCACCCGCTCACCCCCCGCAGGCCAACAAAAAAACAACAACAAAAACAGCTCACCCCTGGAGTTGCCTTTCAGTGGCAGCATGAACTCAATCACCGGCAAAACCAATGTTTGTGAGATTTGTGAGGTAGGTCCTCTAGCCTGTGAAATCCATAGACGAGTGCATACGATTACTATTACTGTAAGTTGGGACGCAGTAGGTTGTGATAGCAGTGCGCACAGCAACTCAAGAGCTTCAGCAGCTCAGGCGACGGCATTATTTTGAAGGCTAGCGCAGACCTCAGCAGATTCATCAAGATCGCGGCCCGTCAACTGATCTTTCAAGCCAGGGATCACTTAAGCACGCGGCTGTAAGAAATACACCTTGGCTGGCAATAGCTTGCTTGCACATGGCCGTTGCTGAAGAGCAGGCGACGAAGTTGGCATCTCGTGCTGCCAAGAAGCAAAACCTGCAATAAGGAGCCATGCCCATTGCAGTGCCTGGGATGCCCCCAGCGTAATTAAGTGATGATGTTGCCTCCCCATCAAAGATGTCACACCCAGCGCTGCTGCTGCACAGAACTCTGTACTCTGACGAAGCTGCCGCATTCGGAAGTACCAGGCTGCCTCAACCGACTGCATAACTCCGACACTGGATGCTTAATACCGGGTCGGCACTTGACAGTGGCTTCTGCAGCAGCGCACGATGTACCAAGCACTCCCTGACTTTTACATATCTGCCTGAGACTGCCAGGACCTTTTCTAAGCAGCAGATCTGTGGAACTTTGCAGGAATTCCTGACCTAACAAGGTAGCAAGCATGCATGCGTTGCTCCACCAGTCCAGTCATGTTGCACGCACCCAGACGCAGCCTGCCTTGAAGAAAAGCTGCACCAAAGAACGGAATCTGAACTACCTTGGCGTCTCCTAACCTAACTGCAGGCAATCGACGCAGTCACGCCGCCCAAGAGTGATTGGTTGCGGAGATCTTACAAGGCAGGACCACGAAGTGGAATCGGATTCAGGATGTACTTAGTGCTGCATGGATTTCCCATGATCCACAGTGCGACGTGCTTGGCTCCAGATCCGTATGCAGCGATGCTGGAAACAGCAACAGCCTCCATGGAAGGAGAGTAAGCTGGTTTGGAGCCTTGGGATGTCGGCGTGTGTGTCCGTGCGCGTGCGCGCGAGTTGCATGCCCTGGACGACCGTGCTTGGTGCCTATGTGACCTTTCACGAAGAAGTGGCTCCCGCCACAGGAAGACATTTCGCCTTAAAGGGAGAAGTCTGCCGGATTTGCTTTACACATCCGAGTTGCCAGTGATGCGCAGGCGCTGTAGTACTGGAGCCTGAGTGTCACCAGGCTTGCAACTATTGCGACGTATCTTCTCGCAGATTGCTCAATGGATCTTTGCAGCTTCTGCTGTTGACACAGCCCACAAGAGAACCCCAATAGCAGCGCACCTTGCATTCTCGACATCTCTGACAAGCAAATTGCTACGACATGCTAGATGCCGCGGCGCGTTTCTTGGCTCCAGGCTGGCCGGAGGTGAAGCGAGCTCCATCAGGTCCCGGCCTCATTCGGGGGTCGACGAGATTCGTGATTTCCGCTCATTAGGCGGTCCACGAGCAGCCTTTCGAGCTGTAAGTTGATCGCTGAAGCAGCTGCGAACAGAATACATTCTGGACCTGAGCACAGGATAGCAAGGATTTCATGTGAACGCAACACTGGCCTGCCCGATCAGCTCAGGCTTTGGCACATTCGGCTAAGTTGGACACGACAGCAGCCGCAAAACCGACCTGTTTCCAGTTTCTGGGCCAGGCTGCAAAGTCGGCGTTGCTCCTCCGCATTCCTGCGCCTAATCCCCTGATAATAATAGGTCCCGATGCGGCGATGCATGTGTGAACTTGTACTGTATCCCCTGTCTCCGATCTTGTAACGGGAACGACTGACAGAGTTTGTCTGCATGTTCATCCAAGGGTCAAGCCACCGCGAAAGAATGCTCGCCAGCGGCGGCTGTGATGAGGCCTGGCAAGCGGCATGCATCTGTCAACTGGAGGTTACACGTTCAAGTAATACAGCCGTCTTCAAGAGCTCAGTGTAAGCCGGCCAGCTCCCACCTAGCATAACTGGAACCAGAGTTATCAGCACCGGCAGCCTCAAGCTGGACAGGCAGTGGTTGGACATTTGGTCAAGGGATCGAGCCAGCAAGCCGATAAATCATCCCAGCGATTTGCCCAAAGCCACAAGAAAAGGATCGGGCAGCCGCAAAGCCTCCCCTCAGTAGCTTTCGAAAGCCCGAGGCACCACAAGACGTTCTTCAGATGCGCGCAGCAAATGGAATCGCGGGATCATATCCTACCGGAGAAAACATGGAGAAAACCAACCGACAAAGGCCGAGACAAACGAAAACCACGGCACATCTGATCGCTCATGCCAAGACGGCCACAGATCGCAGGAAAATTGCCTACTGCTCACAGGCTGGATCCCTCGGTTTCTGCTCCCAGGTGGGCCCTGCTATTCCCCAGTGCCATCGCTCACTGGCTCAACAACTGCGGCCCCGGCGGTGTCCGCTCACCGGTCAAGAACCAAGCAGCCACCACCTAGAGCAGCGCAGCTGTTGTTAACTTGGGGCCTGGCCGCGTGGCCACCCTGCTGCCACGGCCATGACTGCACTTGCAAGGACCGGGCTGTGAAGAAGGGGCTGGAGGCCTGCGAGCAGCCGGGCAGCCCGTAATGATATATCTCTTGCATCCTGACCCGAGAAACCTTGATCGTCTCGGTGAAGGACGCCGCGACGTATCGCAAGCTGATCAGGCCCATCACCGCAACAAAGAACCTTTTACAAGGCGGCTTCTACTTGCTTGCGCTCCCGTCTTCTTGAGCTCGTGCTTTAAGTAGTGCCGGTGCGAACAGTGAACATCTGTGCATCTCGCCGGAAAAGACCCAGGACCAGCAAACTGTTTCTCTGCTTCACCTCGGCTGCGAGGGCATGAAGTGCCCACACGTGCCGTGATCCGACAAAGGCATGCCAAAAACAAGAACCGTCTGCTGCAACACAGTTTCAGCATAGGCAACACGGCATTGAAGGCTTGAGCTCTGGACCCAATCTAGCTTTGACGTTGAAGTGGAAGGCCTGTTCATGTGGATAGTTCTACAGCTGCGCCCACAGTCTGTCATCCGACCAACTCGGAGTGAATCCACGGGATCTGTTTCTTGTGGCCGCCCCTCAAAACATACAGCTCTCGTCTCGGAGCAACTTTTTGAATCTGCATTCTTCGACTCAAAACGTCTCGTCTAACTGCTGACGAGGCATGTGCAGTGCTCTACTCGCCTTCTCGCTGCACCCTGGTTGCTTCCCTGGCCTGCCAATGGCTTCGCGCAGCTTGCCGAACACCACTGTGGACCTCGGCGAGTCTGTGGCTGAACGTCTGCAGCTCGCCTACTGATATAGACGAACAATGCAACTACTAGATCGAGCTTCGCCGTGTTGTGAGAGCGGTGTCACTTGCAAGCTGGGCTCGCACTACCATGGCCAAGGCTTCGGCAGCATCTGCGCCTGAAAGTATTGGTCGCCACAGTCGGAAACCAAAGCTTCAAAGTGCGACAACAGATCGACAGCTTTTGACAAGCTCTGCAAAGAACAAGGACGGTGCGTTAAACAAGCCTTCACGGCATTCTTCTTGGATGCCGTGAGCGACGCTTTCTTATGTTGTCTCTGAGGTCCCTGCCAGCACCAAAGCCAAAGGCCCTACATAGCCATCCTCTCCTGCAGCTGCCGCTTCATTTGCGTCTGAGACTGCTGTCCTAACCATGATGGCGAGCCCGCAGCAACTGGCAACCGTGAGCACGTGCGTGCACTTCTGTCTGTCTGTCTGTCTGTCTGTCTGTCTGTCTGTCTGCCTGTCTTTACCCGAACACCAGTTGGGACCCTGCCTGGTGACAGGATGGTCTTGTTCAACACGATGCCGAAGAATGACCTCGGTACATCATGCATGCAAACCCTTGCAGGTAGCTGTGTTGCATCTTCAACTGTCGGCTGTAAGGAGGTAAGGAGTGGAAGGGGTTGATCCCGTCAGTCCTATGGCGCACACTCAGTGTGGCAACTAACTTCCAACTGGCCGAAGCTAGGGCCCAAGCACGACATACCAAAATGCGACCTGAGAGCTACGAAGATTCGATAAACACAAAAATGAACAAATCATGGACACGTGCTGGAAACCGTACACGCGAAGGCACGCCAAACAATCTTTACCATGTCGAGCTGAAGTTGGACATGCCTAAATAATCCTAAATATGAGGGCTTGTGAAGCAGATGGCAAAGGAGAGTTGATGCGAGCCGGATGCAGCCATGCTGCAAGACTCAGCTTCGCAGTTCCACTAAGATGTGGATCCGTCCTCGGCTGCAGTCAGGTTGGCAGAGGTCATGGCGGTGTGGACCTGCTAAGCATCTCGCATAAACCAGTCCCAAGTCGGCTTAGGACCAACTGCGAAGGTCCTTCCGATAGATTCGACGAACCTCAACTCCAGTCACAAAGCCGCGACATCAAATATCAGAGATGGTTCGAGACTCTGGCAGGAACCCAGCCGAGACTGTACACTGCCTGAAGACTCCTCCTCATCAAGGGAAGCTGATGTGTTAGTTCCGAGACACACACGTTTCAACACATACAGTTCAGAACATCACCACACTCTTCATTCGTCTCCGCATGCATGCCCCATGACCCCATGATATGTTGCAGAGTCGTCTGCGCGGACATGCTTTTCTGATTGAACGATAAAAGTCGTTGAGCTGCAAAACAGATCTGCAGTCCTTGAAGAGTTGAGCAAGGCGCTCTTTCAGCGTGCCGAGACGAAAAAAGGAAACTGGGAGCCTGATCAACAACACGCCTGCGAAGGCAAGTCTAAATTCTCGGCGCACTCCCAAAGTGGGGCAAGGGTTGCCTGGGATTCCCTCACATAATTCGCAGACACAAACTTAACCCAAGTGATGTCAAGTGCTCACAGTGAGCATTCCGGCAAAGAACTGAATAGCTCGGACAAACGCCCCCACATGCCAACCTTCCAGAAAGAGGTGCAGAGGACAGGTTCTCGTGACAAGTCTGCGCGCTTACAATCCACCAACACACAGGTGCAAGCTTCTTTCGCATTTTCACCTGTCGAATCGCATATCATCTAAGCGTGCTTTCGAAGGGCGAAATACGAAACGCCTGCAGACATGCTTTGCTGCACGACAATCAGAATCAAGCAAGCCACTCCTCGGCTGTGCTGCGGAGGAGGGGATATCAAAGATTTGTGCATGGGTGTGGCGCGCGGCGGCGCTGGCAGCCCATTCAAAGACTCAGATGAAGGCACTGCCGACTTGAAATGCCGCCGGGACCTCGGGATCGTTTGCGATCACACACACGGAACTTGAACAAGAGTGGCCTCACAGTTGTCTGAGACTGTTTGGACAGTGGATATCACTGGATGGTGCGTGTATGGTGACCGGGCCTGGCTCACTCTTCTGGGGACCACAACTTGATTTCGCCATCCTGGTCAGGAATCGCTGCCATCCTCGCTCGAAGCTGTTCGCGTCTGAACCCAGGCTGGCGAGCCTTTTCCTCTGCCTACAGGCCGAGGCTTCTCCTGGGCGCATCGCTTCAGAGATCTTCAGCTAACCCGACTGAACGCCGCACCCCTGACGGATCCAAAGGTAACTTGGAGATCTCTTTCGGCTCCATCGTTCAACCCGTGTAGCAGCTGTGAACCATGTGAATGATGCAGCCGTGTCGCTCGCTTGGCATTCGCCCTGCTCTTAACAAGGGTCAATCGGCAGCGTGTGGATTTTTGTACGGGTTGGCCTCTAGTCTCGTGCATTATGTGAAGTTGGTATGCTTCTGCCTCTTCTTCCCTGCCCCATGATACCACTTCAACTGTTGAAGCACCTCGGGCTGTTGGGACTTGTGACTTCTTTTGCTTGCCGTGGGGAGCCAGTCCACGTGCCGCAAAGTCACTAAGAGAAACAACTGCACAAAAAGAAATGCAATGTGTGCTCTTGATGCCTACCTCTTTTCTGATGCCTATGCCGGTGCGTACATACTTGGTGAGGGAAGGGGAGAGAGAGAGAGAGAGAGAGAGAGAGAGCGGAGGAGGAGAGCGAGAGTGCGCGCAAGAGAGAGAGGCAGAGCGACACAGGGAGGGGGAGAGAGGGAGAGAGATTGAGAGAGAGAAAGAGCAGGATCGAGGGGCAGGGAGGGGAGGGATTGTCGACTGGTCAATTGCTCGACACCGCCTCGAAACCATTTGCTCGTCAGCACACAGCTCTGCCAAAGCGACCGAGGCCGCCGAATGCTCGGCACCGACCTGCACGAGTGTTCAACTAGGCAGTGGCAGCACCCAAGACCCACCCAGCCAAAAACAGGTCCCCTCCCAGTGGAGACAGGCCTGTGCGCATAGCTTCAAAGGAATTTGCTGGATAGAGAACCATGACAAGTGTGCAAAGTGAACGTGTTCACCACCCTTTCACGAACGTTCGATTCTGGTGCATGTCTCACTGATCTCAACAGGGTGTGCGAAATGACATTAACCGCAAGACTTCTGTTGAACAACATCGCGCACCTTTAGCTGGATGTATCTTTATCAACAAAAGTGATAACACACGGCGAGAACTCGATCAAGATTCGACTCGTCTAGATGTTCAATAGCTCAAAAGTGCCGAATGTCAAGCTTCGGCTTCCCGACGTTTCTGGCACAGACCTTGGCATATTTCCGCGCACCAAGGCAATAAGCCTTGAAGTCTCCTAGACCTGCGCCTTACAGCTGCGACCCCAAGATGTTACACCGGGTCAAACTAGAACTTCGGATGAATACTCACCTGCAGGGCTGCACAACTTACACGGATTAATAACGTCTTGGGATGGCAGAACCAGTGATCACAAACTCCTCAGTGAGACGGGTGCTTTGTTGAAAGAAATCACAGGACCTGGAATCCGAAAAGCCTCCAGGACTCCAAGATCTGACCAAGAGACCTACTGCCCAAGTTTTGACGCAGGAAGGCATGCCATGCTGTCCCAAAGCATGCAATCACGCATCAGGTCTTTCGTTGTCCGTTGCTGACCACATGAGGCGGCCAATGCCACACGGCCATCGCACATGTGGGCAAAGGTTACAGGACAGCTCTCGCTTTAATTGAACTATAGCGAAGCACGTCAGAAACACCGACAATGCCCGGCAGAAAGCTTCCCTCTGACTTGCCCTCTTCTTTTCGCCCTTTTCAATGCCTAACCTCTCCGTCTCTTCCCCTTTCAGAGCGCCTTCTGCGGGTGCACTTGGCCAACGAAAGCCGCATCGGCCCAGTCTCCGTCAAAGCACTTCAACGTGACGGTGCTCTGGTATCCGCCAACTACCTGCTAGGGCTGTTTTCAGGCCAGCGCGGTCGCGGTCGTGGGCCACGAGTCACCAACAAAGTGCACATGTTCCCAGTTTCATCTGTCTTTTTCAGAGCCGAACGAAGCTCCGTCCAAAGCAACCCCAAGGCGACGGGATGCTGGCTGGCATATCATTTCTGGCCTGGAGACCCTACCTAGCCGGCATCTCTCCCTCCCTCCACTTCTGGCAGCCACAGGCGCTTGCAGCGTGGTGTAAGCCAAATCGCCTGCTGAATCATAGACTCACAACACACAGCTCCCATTTCCATGACCAGTTCTTTGTCGCTTCTAACAAAACAGCACAGTAGGCTACACGGTTCTACCACTGCCCGGATGCCAACCTTTGTTCATCACCTTTCTGGCGATCTTGCCACAAAGGGCATTCAAGTCCTGGCTGACGTGGTGAACTGCAAGTCTAACCAACTATATTTACGTCTGTCAGCCCAGATTGGGCAACTGAAAATCATCTGCAACATGGCAAATTCCAGGCCCCCAGGCCAGTCCTGCTTGGGCATGGCACGGAACACGTCCGTTGCTGGCTGTGGGCTCGTCCCTGGCAGCCGGATGAGCGCCTGAGCTACGCTACAAGTACGGAAAGTGGACTTTCCATGAGAGCCTGAAGTCTTTTTGGCCCGAAGCCCAAGCTTTTGATGAAGCACATCCCGTCGCACCCCATCGCTACGTCTACAACAGCTGCTTGAAATCAGCCGAAGAACCCTGCACATTCTGTGATGTTGGAGGTTTGCGTCCTGGAAAATTAAACCTGCCGGGGAGCAGCTCCTGCAGGAGGTTGCGGCTTCGACTTTGCGGTTGCTTCCGACCTCAGTAGCCGCTAGCAGGTTTTGACATCGCACCTCGCATGACTCCAATTACATCAGTATAGTAGCGTGCACAAGAGTTCATAATAAATGGTGATGCTGGATCATGTTGTGGGGACACAGTGAATTTGATAGTGGCAGTGCTGGGCGAGGACTGCACCCCGGGACTTTCAACATCCAATGCTTCCAACCCGTAGAAGCAAAGTTCTAAACATGTTCGAACCACCACCCCCGTCCGCGAAATCTTCTACAGAATTTTATACCCTCCAAGCCTATGCCTTTGCACATGTGCCCATCTTGTAACGTGAGGCTTAATGGCTTTGCTGAAGAAGCTATCCCGCAAAGTCCCTGCTGTCGGGAACTTCGATACCTATGCCCTCGGTTTCAAAAAGCGAAATCGCACACAAATCTGTCTTTGTAGCTGCTCAAGCATGGCTTGAAATCCGCCCTGGACTCCTTGGGCACGTTCTCGGCTGACTCCGTCGGAACTCTTGGGCGGCCGTCTGAAGGTCGTGGTCGCGGGCGTTCTCCCATAGCTCTCCGTTTTTCCATTGCCCCGAATGCTTCCCCAAGCTTTCCTCCAAAGACCTGCGCGACATTGGCACGATCGTTTCTCCGCACCTGACCTTTGCCGAAGCGTGGAACCTACTGCGATGGCTCTTGCTGCTTCGCCCAATGCCATTATAGGCGACAGTGCCCGTGGCCAAGCCGGGCCCGGACGCCACCGCAAAACAAGGAACTGAAAGGGCCAATATCTCCGGGAGAGCTTGTAGACCGCACACGATTTCCGGAATTAATCCCTTGCCACTTTTATTAAACGCCTCCTTAATGATGAGAATACATTGGGGCGAATCCTCCCGAAGTCATTCCTGAGTGGGGAGGGTTTCGAGGCTCCAAAGACAAGAGTGAGAGCAACAGCAAAGGCAAGAGCAAGAGCAGGAGCAAGAGAAACAGCCGGAGCTTGAGCAAGAGCAAAGCAAGAGCGGGAGTAAGAGCAAGAGCAGGAGCAGGCGCAAGAGACACAGCAGAAGCAGGAGCAAAAGCCAGCGCGGGAGCAAGAGCTAGAGCAAGGGCACCAGCTCTCAAAAGTGGCAGTAGAGATAAAACAAACACACACCCTAACAACAAAAAACACTCTCCGAGGTTTTATTGCCCCCCCCCCCACGTTTGTTAGGGCAAAGGGATAAATAGGCCTTAGTAGTTCATGCTGCACTTGTGCGGTTCTTCTGGCGCAATTGCAAACCTTCCAAGTTCGGTGGTTCCGGCGAGTATCTCTCAAAAGAAGCTGACCAAACACACTTGCGGGCTTCGGTGTTGTCATACAGCGACGAAACGACTCACTCCATTCAAACATTCAAGTCCGGTGAGCTAGCTTGCTGAACTCAGATGACGAGGCTTTACTTCTACGACCATGCATCAAAGCGGCAATGCTGAGACCTCCTCCTCAGTAAAGCCATCGAGAGCACCAGCTTCTTCAGCGGGAGCATCTTCTTCAGGATGATCTGTCTGATGCACATCTGCCCTGAGAACGCAACCAGTGAAGAAACAGAGTTGACGAACAGTGCTTGGACATGTGTGATCATACACTCTGCGAGGACTCCCCGGCGCTCGCGCATTCCATGTGCGCTGACAAGATCATGAAGTCATATATCATATGGCTGCAAACAGGAATGTGAGACGGTGTCAGGCTCCAGCTCGTCGGCCACGCCATTCTCCTCCTTCCGCTCCTGAGTTCGAAGGCAACTTCATGAAAATCACAGCGCAAACCTCCACATCGCAGATTGTGTAATTGCCTTGCTGCTGACATGCAGTCTCCAAGCTTCTACAGGATCAGCAGGTCGGGCAACAGGCTTCGGCGTGGCCACTAACCTGCAACCGGAGTACAGATGCAGCAGGAGTTTGCGAATGCAACGGGTCTGCAGCCGTTTTCATTGGCCTGAAGCGAATATTGACACTGAACAGGGATGGCCGCACAGTTCTAAGCACCGTACAGTTTTGTGGGCAGTCGCCTGCAGTATCCGCATCGGCTGGACAGGCCAAACTCCCAACTCTTCTATGCTCTGAACTTGTGCCCTCCATGCTACATGCAAGCTTCTGGATGGAACACTACTCAGGCCGCCACAAAGGTTCTTCAAGCGCCTGTGCGAGTGACACGATGCTGACAGGCATCCCAAGACAGGCCGACCCCTTGGCCCACACAGAGTCGAATCACGCAACACCCTGGCCTGACGCTTGATCGGAGGCAAAACCAACGTACCTCTTGGTTCATGCAAGGCTGCAAGCCTAGCAGGCCTCGGAAGCCTAAGACCTCGACTGACCCCAAGTCTTTTGAATAATATAGGGCCCACGATCAGATGGCGCTGTTAGGGTGTAGGCTGGGGGCCTGTAGTGCAGTTGTGAAGTTGTGAAGGGAAAGGGGCTATTCCAAGAATGCGCATCATTCGCCAACGCAAAGTGGCCAGCCAGCAAGCGCGAGTCGTTGCATGTGAAAAAGCGATGAACGGCAAGCGTAACCGAGAGCAGAGGACACAGCGTGGCGCACAGAAAGCTTCCGGATTTGAAGTCGGTTGCTCGTTCGTTTTCGTTTAGCCGGAGATTTTCCTGCGCCATATGGAAGGGCTTCCGGAGAAAAAACAGATGATGCCAAGTGATTCAATCCCGAGAATACAGCCTCAGACAAACTTCTGTGACCGCCCTCTATAGTCATGGAGATGCTACAGAATAGAGCCACGGGAGCTCTTCTTCCCTGTAGGGGGAAACGACGCATTCAGGTTGAAGCCCAACGAGAAATCAGTCCGCAATGCAACTACAAGGATCTTTAAGGTGCAACGTCCTGAATAGCGACCGAACATTCATAGAAACAAATGCTTTCGGTTGGAGAGTGGAAACCTTGTGATCTGCCACGCACAAGACCCCAGGTGGAAAGGGATGCAAGAGGCTTATGTGGAAGATGGCTTCAGTGTTTCCCAAGCTCCCGGTGAGCACCTTTCCGCTTGCCCGGTGGAGGCGGTGTTGGCTGCTTGGCGATGAGCTCGCGTAGCTCATCCCCGTAAATCAAGAGTGCCTGTCAGAGAGAAAGAGGACCGAAGACGGGGCTGACTGGGACCAGAGGATGCCTCGCGTGAGTGCACAAATTGACAGAAGAAACGGACATCAGACTACATGAATGCCACGATGTTATACAAAGCAAGTCGGCGACGAGAACGAAAGCCAAGATGACAACCAAATTCTAAGACAGTGGCTTGCAATTGTCTCTCGTCGTGCTTGCCTGTGGCCCTGAAATCCCCCAAAACGTTCTGCCAAGCAAGTGACAACACGAGGACGCGCCTGAAGGCAAGCGTTTTCTTCGGCTTCCTTTGCCGTGGGGCACAGCTCACTGGCGGCTTCCTTGCCCTGGCGTTGGAAGGGATGCTCGAGTCATCTCACGCCCACTAAACTGTATTGCCTGTAAGGTGCCGCTTCAGCAATTTCACGGTGAGTCCCCTTCTCCAGCTCACTTGTAATTCATGTGGTTCCTTCTCTGGGACGTGGCCGTCCTCCCCAAAGTAACCTCTTGCTACTCAAGCAAGTCGCTAGTGGTTCCCGCGTGGGTGCTGGTTCGAGCTGTGGCAGGTCACAGAGCCATGAACAGGTTGTGCTGTCAACTGTACCCTGCTATGCCCGGCCAGGCCATTCCAATCTTCAAAAGCAGCTACACACCATGAGATGGATTTGGAGCCTTGCAGAGTCTTGCAAGAATTTTGCGCCACCAAGCCACCACCCCAAGCGCTACATCAAGCCTCACGGCTAGCAATGGGAGTCCTCGACGCCAGCCCTCAAGAGCAAATCAGTCACTTGTAGCCTCCATCAGAGGGTTAAGTAAGCTGTTCACACACGAACATACAAAAACCCTCCAAAGTCAAAACAGGGCCCTTGTGAGTTGCACATCTCGTCCTCGGCGCACACCAGGGTCACCGTTGCTTGGATGCCGACTTGCCACGTCCTGCGTAGCCCGTGTTACAGCGCTGGATGAGTGTGAAGCCGTCCAGCCACCATAAACCGAAAGTTTCGTCTAAGGGTAACAGCTGCCAAGGATCTGGTGCTCCATGACCTTAGCCAGACAGACTCCAGCAGCATAACGTAGACAGTGGTGACACGGCAGAATGGCGAGGCCGCAAGTTCGAACAGGGACCCGCAAGAGTAAGAGTCTCAGGCCCTGGCGATATCATGATTTGTGAGCGGTCGTCCGACCAGCCGTTGGAGGAGCTGGTACAGCTTGTACCTTCCAATGCTCTTGCAGCTACGCAAAGCTCTGTAGTGCGATGAATTAGCATGTAATGTCGCTTGCAGGAAGGCCGGGACCTTGGGTTCGGCTCGTCCTCCATGATGCCGCTAAGACTGTCATGAAGGTGCTTTTAAGATGTGGGAGGCGAACATCTTAGCTTCGGAGAGCATTGGCTCAGCCCCGCAGGCCGCTGAGAGGTTGAAGTGCGAATTTTGGGAAGTTCCGGAGCTTCTCCCTACCGAGTAGGAACCGCTGACTCATGAATCTGTGGCTAGGATTGGTGTCTCATAAGCCGAGATCGAGCTGCGAGGGCCGCTGGAAAGCTTACAAAGAACCCACTGAGCCAAATTTTCGGCCATGATGCGAGAATCAACCACCTGCATTTTCCATTCTGTCTGCTAGTAGGCTTACTAGACACAACTAAGCATCTACCACGGTGTAAAAGGTAGCATGCCTCAGCGAAGGCCACCGTTTGCTGCACGTTCTCAGTTCTTCGAGTCTTCGGTGAGCTATGTGACACGGGAGAATTGTCAAGACTGCGCTGCTTCTTCTCTCAGTGCAGAGTGCAAGAGGGCAAGGCGGCGGTTCATCGTGAGCACGAGCAGAGCCGGGCCACCTTCCTCCAGGTTCGGAGAAGACGAATGTCATACTGAAGGTCTGACTGACACCATATGCTCGCCTCCATCTCCTTGTCCGTCAAGCGAATGTCCCATGGCGCTCGTGGTCGTAAATCTTCGGGCGGTCCTGAGCTCACATTCAGCAAGACTCGATTGTCGATGCTTGCTGCCGCAGTTGGCAGGCACATTCACAGGATTCCAAAAGGCTGGTTGGAAGCTTCCCAAGCTACTTGTGACATCGCTCCGGACTCTCGAAAAGATTGTCAGCTACGTAGGATGAACCCCGCAAAGAACTTTCTCTCAACATCCAGTGGCTGACATGCAGCGTCCATCTCAAGTAACTTTCTGTCTGAGCGGCGAGTCTGCAAGGTCTCGGATTGGCGCTTCCATCGTAGCTCCTTCAATGACAACATATGCCACGATGACTCCGGTAGGTATAAGTCTGGCTTCTGCTGCAAGCGGCCATGCGGAACTGCACTTGTTCTGCCGTCACTCCCTCTTCTCCTGTTCAGAGCGCTGTGTCTCGGGGAGCCTGCTGAGAAACTCCTCACGCCGGCAGAATGCTTGGAAGACAGCCCCAGCTGAAGCTACAACTACAGCTAATCGCTTGCCACCTGCAGCAGACCAGGTCTCCCCGCAGGGAACACGACAGAACACAAGGCAGTGAGGCACGCGTGGCCTGGATCACGCTCCTCAACGCATTGTTGGGAATGAGATCGTCCTTTCTGAGGCTAGACATCGAAAAGCTCATTCACCCGGCAGGTAACATGCAACTATGCAACGCTATCTCTGTTTTGCGGAGCAGAGCTTCGCTTGCCAATGGCAGGTTGGTCAGCGGGCTCGTCCGATGACCTGGCCAAGGACACGTGTAACCTGCTGCACTCAAAAGGCGCAATTGTTGAAACCCATATGCTTCGTGCCGCCGAGAAGACTTTGCAGCCAATGTTCAATGGCGCGCCGCTCGTAGCTGGTGCCATCCGACGCCACCACTGGGTCCTCCATCAGGTCCTGATTGAAGCTCCACAGACTCCTATGCTGTTTCGTGTGTGAGCAAACACCTCAATGTACATCCTTCGCACATCCCTCAATACTTTCCTGACGCAAAGTTCGCACCAGGCCTACCTCCAAGCTGTCCTGCGTGATCGGACAGCTGCAATCTGTCGGCAGTGGAACTGACTCCAATGTCGGCGGCGAGGCCATTGTGAGCACTGCGGTCACTTCTCGGTCACTTTAGGATTCGGAAAATGCTCCGCTCCATCGGCACATGCCTTCAAACTTTACTGCTCAAGGTGTGTAGAATCTAGAAGGCGGCTGGAAACGGTTGTCTTCCGATAGACGACATGACGTGGACGACGTGGACATCTAACCAGTCAAGTGCAATCGCTGCAGCAATGCCGCAAATTGATCTGCGTGCAAAGCTCCGTTCTGCAAGAACCTCTGATCCTGAACCGGTCTGTGGAGCATTAGGGTAATATTTCCACAGGGGGTTACGGGAATGCGTAGAAAAGGCTAGCAATCTCAAGATCTACTGTTCAATACCAGTAGCAAGGACACCCTGGGGCACATTCGCGAGGCATCAACTTGGCACTCTGCCGGTTGAGTGCAACCTGACAAAGTTCGGGTTGGTGCATTTTCCCTGCTACCCTCGGCAGGAAGGTACAGGCCTCCAGGCTTTCGACCGTGCTTGCAGTGGCTCTTCTTTCGGATGTCGCAAGCACCGCACCCCAGCACGCTTGGAAGGAATGAAACATCGAATCAAAGCGACACTCAGGCATTCTCACGCCAAGGTTATCAAGTGCCTCACCCCAGCCTACTGTATGTGAAGTCAAGACCCTCCCGAAACTTTTGCCTCCACCTGCAGCTGAAGCCATGAAGCTCGACGAGAACAACAGACTGTTCGAAAAACCGCGGTGCCGCCGATGATGACACGTGCATCAGACAGCTATCTCGCTGGGCATGGACAACACAAGGCTACGATTCCAACGCGTAATGCTCCATCAAGACACACACTGGCACCCAGCTTCAAGACAAATAGATAATACAAATGAAGACATAATTGGCCTCCCTTCTCTGGTCGGACATCTGGTCGGAGCAACACGATTCCCGACCGGATTCTGCACCAGCCGGCATATTCGTCTATCTGCCGGCTGTCATCTGCCCGCCAGCGGGTGTATCTGCCCGCTAGCAGGCAGGTTTGCCTCAAGGCAAGTCCGATGCCTAATGCCCGGCCAAAGGTGCCTCGGAGAACGACGAATTCATGGGCCGCCTCGACTCCGCAGGTAAGGCAACTCAAGACAAGCAAGTTTTCCAACGCACACACATACACTGTCAAAACACACATTGAGCCCAACTTCAATGCCAAAACGGACACAGAAATTCAATTATAAGTAAATACAGGTAAAGACAAATAAAGATACTTACAGACAGTGAAGTAAAAACAGAGACAAATACAGACAAGCAAGGACAAATTCAGACAAACAAAGACAAATAAACACAAACAAACAAAAACCCTCCATTTTTCATAACCCATCGAGGGATCTAAATGAACCCTGAAGAAGTAGAACCCGGATTTCACACAAGCAACGGTGGTTCTAGCCACACTACAGCCGACAGGAATGCTGATGTCAAGTGACAAGCTTTCCGCGTTTTGAACCGCCGAGAGTTTCGGATCGCGCAGAACTGTGCAGCCTGCGTGACACCTTCTGCAGGGAAGCCTACTACTCGAGAGTCCTGCTGCACGTGTGAATGCGCGCCGCTCAAACCTCGATGTCGATGGCTTGAGAGCTCCTGCCATCAACCACATGTTCCCGTTCAGCCCCTTGTGACATTACTCACCTTTCCTTAGCTTGATTGAGCTTAAGCGTAGTAAAGTCCAAAGAAACGCTCGGACGAGGCTTTCGCCTTGCAATCAGCAAGCTTGCTCTCACCTGCAACAAGCATCGGCCAGGAGCCACCGCAAACATGACGTCCGGCGCATGCGCTTTATGTGCTGCTTCGTTTCGCAACTCCGAGTGTTGCGAAGCAGAGAGGACAGTTACGGCCAGTTTGCTATAGTGTACCACAACGCCGCCTCGCTGTCTGCCGCTGCCCGGTGAAAGATAGCGGTTCGGGCGCAAGGGTCTGGAGAAGCGGGCAAGGCTTGGCAGCAGAGTACCCGAATGAGCTCGCAAGTCGCAACTGCGTTCTGAGTTCTCAACTTTCAAAAGCAGACCCCCCCACCAAGGACCAAAGCACATCGAACTCAGCACCTACAAACGACATACCAATATTTCCATTTCCAACCGCTGAATTTGCGGACAGGTCTCGGCTGAAGTTTCAAACACATGCCTAGAGCAGCTTGGTTGCCCTAGACTGCAGATTTCCCAATTGGCGGGTGGTCGAGACGACTCTCACATCAAGACCGGATCGGTTAGTGCATCTCGAAAGGTTGCGGATCGCAATGGAGGATGCCTCGAAACACAAAGCAACACTCCTCCGCAACACCGTAGGATGCCGTTTTTTGTAATGGGCAAAGGCACAGGGCTCGGACACAGGGTTCAACTCCTACGAGATGGGTAAGAGTGGGCGCAGTCAGAGAGGGCCTTTACTTGCTATCGCATCGCACAACAAACCCTTCTGTGATATGACTAGGTTCAGGAGCAACATGCAACAACTGCATCAAGGTTCACATCGATGGTTTCGCTATGTTCCAACAGACAATCAGGCACAGTGCTGTCAAGATGAGCCGGGCAGGTCCTGGGTGCACCCGCAGAGACTAGCTTCTGGACCACCTCTGAGCCGACCAAGAAAGCTGCTTCGCAGGCGGGCTCTTGGAAAAAGTCCTTAGGTGGAGGGCATTGTGAGGCCCAGCCGGGCCAAAGACTCAACTGAGATTTGAAACTGAGAGTCCATGCTCGCTCCGGTGCTGTGCCCAGGCCAAGGCTCCACAAAGTTGCTCGCAGCACCTGGGAAAAAGGCATCATCTACGTCCGAGTGCAGGGTGGCGGGCATGCCGGCAATGCCACCTTTCCCACAAGTGTGAGTCGGCGTAGCTTCGACGGGAGTCCCCGGAACCTAGTTGGGGCCGAATGGCCCTGAACAGCCGGGGTCGAACTGCCCGAGAATACATCGTGACGTGGAGGCTTCAAACCAACCCGGTTGAAAAAAAGTTTTTGAATCAGGAAGGTATTCCACTCAGTCAGGCCACGAAGCACCAGCAAAGCTTCTAAACCTCGACTTCTCCCTGCCCGGTGCAAGGCATCGATGGCCTGTGCGATCTCAGAGCCAGTGCTTCAACATCGGCGCAAACTGTATGCGGAAGCAAACATGGTCCGCCTCAGCGGTCGCAAAGTCCTCCATCGCTGACATGGCAAAGACACCCTCAGGGTACAGGGAGCCGATATGGTCTGTGCATAAGGCAATTGCACGGCCTACGACCACAATACAGGAGCCTGGCAGAGTTATGGACAAGTATGGTGCAGCAAACAGGTGCAGATGTTGCTGC